GGTATTAACTGTAAGAACTATAGACAGGTGTAATTTCACAGTTCCTGAAGGTTCAGATATACAGTACAACAAAAGATACTTATGCTAAAGCCAGCTGCTCTTTCTGAAGAATGAGGCTTCTGCAGAAGTTCCAAGAAGAGGAAAGAGCTCTCTCTTCAGGGGAGATCAAACTGCACATTTCTACTGGGCAGGGGTGTCTTTTATAGGGAAATTTGTAATGTTTGATGTTTTATTATGTTTTTGTATCTGTTGGAAGCCGCCCAGAGTGGATATGGCAACCCAGTCAGATGGCGGGGTACAAATACAACAACAACAACAACAACAACAACAACAACAACAGCAGCAGCAGCAACAGGTACCCCCTCTGGCTAGACTCACCAAGTGACCTAGAGAGTGTGGGGCATAGCAATCCCATAATGCTTTTGAGGCCCACAAAAGCCACAGTCTGGCTGTGGAGATAAAATAGTGCAGTTGTGTTATATTGGTAAGTTCCCTAATCTTCAAGGAGCTTGATGCCCTCTGTTTAAGCTTTTGCTCATAAATCCCAATTAGTTCAGTTGTGGCTCATTTGACCCACCCACTGGGGGAAACCTAATCTTTAGTGCTCAGTCGGAGCAAATGTCAACTGGATTTTCTTCAGTTGGACATTTGCCCTGATTTCAAGCTAAAGATCAGGTTGTCCCTAGGAAAGAAGCAGGGCAAGGGGTAAACCACTCAGACAAATGCATGGAAAACATGGGTAGAGTGGAAAACTGCTCAGATCAATGCTTTCTAGGCATGGGAGAAGTTGAAGTGAGGTCAGATCCTGTTCTCAGTCACCCCCCATTTGCATCCTAGTTTCTCCTTGGGAGCCAAGGCAAGGCTTTCTTCTGACAAGGCCATGGGAGAGGCTGCCAAAGAGCCATCATGTGGTTGGATTGTGTCAATGGACTATCAGGGCTGCTGACCAAACAGCCAGGTGTAGATTCCCTCCCTGCTGAGGTCTGTCTGATGGACTCCAGCCCCCATTCCTGCTGTATCAGAGTGTTTGGCAGGTTGCTTAGAAGACCAAAAAGTCTCAGGCTGTAGCTTCATGGGTCTTGGCCAAGGCATGTCACAGAATGTGCTCTGTAGGCAAAACGAATGCCTTGGGTGCCCCCAAAGAGGGAAAGGCTTCCTCAAGTGCCATATGGAGCTGGTTGTTGAGACTCAGCAGTGGGTTTGGGTTGTGCCTGTCAGACACTCTAAGCTTTTGCAGGTAGCAGAGTCTGAGGAGATTTCACCCCTCCCATATCCAAGAATCTGCTGATGTTCTCTGCTGATTCTCCAGAGAGGAGGGGCGGTTTCTGCTCTCTACTTATTCCGCTCCAGCCTCACATCAAAGTGTCGGAGAGAGAGAGAGACTGAGTGTTAGAGAGAGATCGTGTGTATAGATAAGGTTGCTGCTAAGAGCAGCTGCAGACACTCAGTGCAGTTCAGCATTTTCGTTTAGACCTCATTTAGCTCTGTATATAGTTGTGTATTATAGATAGAATAAAGAAGATATTCTACAGAGCTGCTCTCCGAGTCGTTTATGCTCTGCTATACTCTGCTATACTCTGTTGTGTGACGACTGTCTTGTGGAAGTGAATCGGGTGCTCACAACTCTAAGCTGTGAGTCCACAGCACTTAGACCTGTTCCTGTGCGGAAGGTGGTCTCTGGAAGTGCTACCAAGCTCACCTAGCTGAAATGGATGAGTCCAGTTGGTGGCACTGGTTCAAGGGCGATGCTGACAGAGTCAATGAGCTGCTCTTGTTCTGGGGGGCGGGCATGCACACACTTTAATTCATCAAAAAGATGTCCTCCTTCCTTCCCTGGAAATACTCGGCCTGCAGGCAGATTTCTTTCCCTTGGAGATAGGCTATGAAGGGACCTCCAAGGAATCAGGTGCAGGAGGAGAAAACCACCCAGGTTCGCTTTGCAACCTGACTTCAGGCAAATGACCAGAAAACCCTGCTGGGGCCTCAGTTTGCATCCAAATCAAATGAGTCCCACGTTTAGGCTCAGCTCTGTTCATCTTGAGCAGGGGCTTGGCTGGGAGAAAAAGGAGTCCATTTCCATTCCCTTCCACAAGAAATTATTTGCAAAGTGTGTGTGTGTGTGTGTGTGTGTGTGTGTGTGTACAATAATTGCACTCCCAGGCCACTTAGATTCCTCCTCAGGCAGGGGCACCAGGATGCCTCAACTGGTGAGTGATCCAGGTGTCTGCTTAATTATAAAACATGTTTTATTGCAGGTCAATATTTTAACTTCATTGATGTTTTGCCCCAAGGGCAAGTGGGAGGCATTAATAATGGAGCTGATAATTATCCTCCAACATGAATAAAGTTATTGCCGGGGCCCCCGTGTAAATCATCCAGTGGAGATGACAGATCCCTCCAGCCGGCCACCACAGAGGCGCTGGGCCTGGCGCAGATTGTGACAGCTTAATGGAAAAAGTAATAAAAGCAACAATGAAGCCATTTAGAATATGGAGGGTGATTTGTGTACCCAAGTTTATTTTCATTGCTAAATAGAAGATAAATGTCAGATTAGGAACAAGATCTGAAATTCCTATTAAAATATTTGGAAAATGTCATTAAATATCAACCCTTCAAAGCTTCAGAAGCAGCAGCAGCAGCGGAGAGCTTGTTGCTCTGCTGCCCTGCCCCTTGGGCTCTGGGTGCGAGGTTGCTGTTAGAACAGGGGGAGGCAGGGCTGGGGGCTAAATAAACATGCCTGCCTGCCCATCCCCCCACCTCCCTGTCTCTTCACATTTCAAGCTCCAAGATAGCTGCCTGCAGTTTCCTAGAGAAGTTGGCTCTCCACACATTCATTTACCTTGGCAGACTTTGTAAGTTAACTACAACGTGGTTCTAGCTCAGTGCATTTGCTGTGTCCTGCCTCTCATTCCAGCTCCCATGAGTTCTAGGAGCCAGATAGGGAGGCCTGGAGGGATGCATCTGGTCTCTGGGCCTGCTCTGCAGGCAGGGAGAAACAGGGGCTGGAGCCAGCCGACAGGTGCATTGGCAAGGCAGGAAGGTTGAGGAAGACGAACTTGTGGGGCGTTTTTAAATTCTTTCATTGGTGGTGGTATACTGAGTGCTTTGGAGATTGAAAAAAGTGTGATCTGGAGGGGAAATGAGCTGTGTTATAGTCTGGTGTTGCAGCAGCAGTGCAAACTCTCCAACATTTCTCTGATGAAAATAAGGATGTCCTGTTTAACAACAACAACACCTCACCCATATGACTGGGTTGCCTCAGCCACTCTGGGTGGCCTCCAACAATTATATAAAAACATAATAAAACATTAAACATGAGAAAACTTCCCTATAAAGGCATGTCTTCATATGGCTCTGAAGTGGAGAACTCTATGCGCTCCAATATTTCTCCAAAGAAAGTAGGACTGTCCTAAGGAAAACTGGGATATTCCAGGATGAGATTCAAAATTGGGATGGCTTCTGTAAATCTGGGAGTGTTGCTGGAAAATAGGGACACTTGGAGGGTCTGGCAGAGGTGGGTCTTACTTCAAAGGAAGCATTTGGAGGCTCAGACTCAACGTCTGACGTGTACTTAGGGCCAAACCAGACTGGAGACTTAATGTGTGAATACAGTTAATGCACACCTTTTTTTTGGCTATGCAAGTAGCAGCTGTGGAAAATCCTGAGCAGCTGTGGAGTGTGAGGGACTGCGGGTGTCAGGATGCTGTCAGTGGCTCCCGAATGGTTGCCCAGGAAATTATAAAGACAAGGAAAAGTTTCTTACCATTCTTTTTTATTTAAATATTACAGAGAGAGGCTATGGAACCCAGCCTCTTGGATAATGGCATTGTACCGAGTGAATCTCCACCCCCCCATCTCTCCCACTTCCTCATTCGTCACTTCTATGGGTGCTGCTATGTGCCCTCTGTCTTAGAGGAACTTGAGCTCCTACTTTTAAGGCTTACTGGGTTCTGGGAAATGGGGGATCTAGAATGCTTTCTAAAGACACCGTGTCAGTCAGCTGCTGTTCCGGTCCTGCGTCCACCTCTCTCATTATTTCCCAACTTTCCCCCTCATCTGCCTCTGAACTGTGACCTCTGTTGTAACCACTGTTGTAAATCTATAGTGTCTTCCTCTTCCTCCTCCCTGGAGGGGTCGGGATGGGGAGGTGGTCTCCCCCATTCCTCCTCTGCCCAGTCCCCGACAGCAGGAGAGTTTTTCTCTCCCTGCTATGTGGGCCTGTTGAAATTGGCCTCTCCAAATCTGCTTGTTGTCTTTTCAAGAGAAGCCTCTGCTGGGGCTTTCAGGCGCTTGGGCTCTCCCGAGGTTGGCACCTGCTAATAGACACAACAGCCCAGCCAGAGGAAAATGCCAAAGCAATTAGAGGCCAGATCGAGGCAGGCTGGATTCCCAGCAGGGCCCAGAACATCCATCACAGGAGGCTTTCGGTCCCCGACATCATGTCCAGGGCACAAGGGAGTAAATTGCACTCACTGCTGGGAAATATTGCTGCAGGGCTGCTCAGGAGAGGCCACTAAGCAAACATCCTCTGCTGTGATGGGAGATTTACAAACCTCAATTGGTCTAGTAAATAGAGGACCAGCATCACCCTCCCACGGAGTTTTCCCATCTCCACTGCACACACCTCCCTCCCCGATACATACAGGAACACAGCATAAATGGCTGCCATAGAGCTCAAAGCAGATGACTGGCCCATCCAGGCAGGGCTCCCTCCATGCCAAAGAGGCACAGTGAATGCCTTGCTCCCAACTGGAGTGGTGCCAAAACTTCTCCTCCAACTCTCCAAAGGTTTTCTTCTCCATTGTTTTTCAGGGAATGAGTTCCGGTGAGTGCGTGGTTGGGCTGACCACGTCATTCCCATCACCTATTTCACTTATTTAGTTTAACAAAAATTACATCCCACTCAGTCAATGGCTCCGGTGTCTAAGTCACAGAACAGGCTGGCACCATCTCTATGGCCTTTCTTTTCCAAGGCCTGTGGAAGACCTTCTTTTCCAACAAGCCATTTAGCTCAGTTGGTAGAGCATGAATCTCTTAATCGCAGAGTTGTGGGTTTGAGACCCACATTGGGCAAAAGATTCCTGCATTGCAGGGAGTTGGACTAAATGACCTTCATGGCCCTTTCCAGCTCAACAGTTCTATGATTCCAGTTTGTAACTGTCTTGGACTTGGAATGGGACTTATATACATCTTTACTGTTAAATTACTGTGGAATGTTTCAAGGGAACCAATTCATAAATGAAATAAGTAAATGCTTGCTGGGGACAGGGTCTCCCTCCCTCCCTTCCCCCCCTTTGCCCATCCCCCCAAATGCATTGAACCTTTAAACCTTTATCTAGCCCTCTGAGACCTCCTGGGCTACCCAAACACTTGGGAGTCCACTGGATGATGGCAAAATATCACCTCATGATATTCAAGATTCAAGAAGCCATGTTGAATCACAAGAAGCAGGGGAGATTGGCTACTTAGGCTGCCATATTCACTGGTTCTGTTCTTAAAGAAAGATCTTTTTACCTTTTTTCTTTAAAACAAACAAACAACAAACAAACAAACAAACAAACAAACAATTTCCACACTAATTTCTTTAAAAGTACTGTACAAAGACTGCACTTTAAGAAATGCACACAGTGCTTTTGTCAGGTGCCTGGTAGGCTGCTACTTGCCTTTCCATGCTTATAGCAAAGCCCAGCCTAGGATGCTGTTGGAGGGGGTGTCTTCAGGAATTGCAGCGGGCATTTGGGAAGGCTGCAAATTTGTAGGATTTGGCACTCACAATCGGAGGCACCAGGTTGCCCCCAAGATCTAGGGGACCCAGCGCGCATTGCACGCATGTGACGCCACATGTGTATCACACATCACATGATGTCATGTGCGTTTCCTGACACTGTGCAGGCTGATGCAGCCTTCTGCCAGGCCGGTCCATGCAGCATCTCCCAGTGCTGTGCAGGCTGGTGTGACCTTGCACCAGGCCACAGCGATCCTGATGGCATCTCCAGATACTGCGCAGGCTGGTGCAGCTATCCATGGTGTCCTGTCCCGTGCGCTGGGCCCCTCAACATTGAGTGGGCCAGGACCCTTTCAACAAACGTCAAGGGGGTGACGCCTCCTAGAGTTGGCGTGCCTGCTCACAAGCACCCTGAAAGACAGGCAAATGAAACAATCTCTCCCCCCCAAAATCATTTGATGATTTTTGAATGACTGCAAAGCCCTGTCCACTTAATAGACAGAAATGGAAGGCCTGTAAAGAGCAGCTAGTTGAGAACAAGGGAGAAGATAACTGGCAAGGCACCTCCCCCAAACCTCCCACTCACAGACAGGCACTTCTTAAGACAGGCCCATTTAATTAATGAAGTAATGGAAGCCTTTGTTTTCTGCCGTCAGACAAACAGAGCATTTCAAGCGTGATTTAATGCTTGTCCTCACTTCCCTTGATCGGGGCTCTTCCAAGGACTGATTAATAAGCACGTCTTGCCATGCGGTTGATGCCACCAAGCAACACTTGCAGCTGGGAGTGATTTAGGTGACGCCTCCCTAATCAGCATGCAAGAAGAGCAGGAGGTCTCTGCTCCTGGACTGAAGCAAAGGGGGCCACTGAGTCCATCACCCGGATCTCAACTGGATGTTGGCAGATTCAGCAGGAGGCAAAAGATAGGACTTCTTTGTGCAGCGCACAGCTAAACTAAGGAATTTGCATGCACAGGATATACCGTAGTAATGGCCACCAACCTGGATGGCTTTAAAAGTGAATTGGACAAATGAATGGAAGGTAAAGTTATCTGTGGCTACTAGCCATGGTAGCTATGCTCTGCCTCCACTGTTGGAGGCAGTCGTGCTTCCAAATACCAGTTGCTGGGAATTTCAAGTTGGAAGAACTGCTGCTGTTGCACTCGGATTCTACTTGTGGCTTTCCTTTTGGGGTCTTCTGATTGGCCACTGTAAGGACAGAAGGCTACACAGGAGGTGGGAGCTGGGCAGAGTGAGATGACTGCCTCTGGTGGCAGATCCCAGAAGGGCAGCCATGACAGCCCCTTGCTTGCTTCTCCTGAGACTTTTGGCTGTGCTTTTCTGTTGGAGGACAGAGCAAGGTGTGCCACCCACGTGGCCTGCCTTGCACCCCCAGCACTAGCCTGCCTGTCAGGGGTTTTTCCCCAAAGCACACTGGTAGCTTTGTCCTACAATGCGGCACAAGGGCCCTGGGGGATGTAAGTCAACCCCAGAGTTATTTTTATTGATCATAATTTAGTAATTATTAATTGTACAGCATCTTAAAAAGCAGGGACATCACCTTGCCAACAAAAGTCCATATAGTTAAAGCTATGGTTTTCCCAGTAGTGATGTATGGAAGTGAGAGCTGGACCATAAAGAAGGCTGATCGCCAAAGAATTGATGCTTTTGAATTATGGTGCTGGAGGAGACTCTTGAGAGTCCCATGGACTGCAAGAAGATCCAACCTATCCATTCTGAAGGAAATCGGCCCTGAGTGCTCACTGGAAGGACAGATTGTGAAGCTGAGGCTCCAATACTTTGGCCACCTCATGAGAAGAGAAGACTCCCTGGAAAAGACCCTGATGTTGGGAAAGATGGAGGACACAAGAAGAAGGGGATGACAGAGGACAAGATGGTTGGACAGTGTTCTTGAAGCTACCAGCATGAGTTTGACCAAACTGCGGGAGGCAGTGGAAGACAGGAGTGCCTGGCATGCTCTGGTCTATGGGGTCACGAAGAGTCGGACACAACTACACAAGAACAATTATATTCTAATTGAATATAAATTTTTCCATTTTAAAGTTATGTTTTATTATTATTTTTTGTATTGGATCAGAGTGTTATAAGGTGTGTGCTCTTTGTTGCATATTTTGTGGCTGTAAACCACCTTGTGTATACTAATACAGAAAGGCTATATATAAATTAAAAGTGAAATGAAGTTGCAGGTGGTGAAATTCCTAAGGGGCGGTGTCTATACCTATCCGACCATTAGTGCTCAGTTGAATGCAGGAAAAGTGACCCACCAAGGGCCTGTGCCAGCTGAGACTCAGGGCCATCCTGTCTCCTGCACTGGTCATGAGGTGGGTGCCAGGGAGGTGTGGACTGGATGCCCCACTGCACGACAAGCCTCCCATCTGTTCTCTCCTGATGGCTAAAAGTTACCCGTCATCACCAGTGGGCGGAAAGTTAAGTCTTGCGAAGGCTGCAGGAGGATGATCCAGCTGGTCCACCACCTGCTGCTCGGCACGTCTCCTGTCCCCAAGTGCAGCTGCCTGGCAGGCTGGTGGGGCAGCAGGACCAGAGGCTCATGTCAAGCCTGGTATTTACAGGATTTATGTCTGTAGATCTCATGTCTCAGGCTAGATTACAAGAGTTTAGCGTGGTGCGGTGTCTGGATTTGCAGCTCCCCAGCTGCCCTTTGCTATCGGTGTGATTGCCTGTCATTTGTAAGCCATGTGGATGCGAGCGGCGCCTCCTCCCATGGGGCTCTGGACATGCCCAGGGAGGCCAAAAGATGTGTGTGTTTGCCAAGAATTACAAACAGGCTGATTGGAGAGACAGCTTAGGTGTATTCTGTCAACGCTCGGCTGGGCAGCCTCCGGCCCAAAGCGCTAACCAGGAAAGGCTCTCGGGGAGACTTGACGCTGCTGCCACCCTCAAGACAACTCTATGCAGTCTTGGCTAGGCAGGGAGGGAGGGCAATGCTGGCTGGCTGGAACCCTGAGCAGGCGCTCTCCTAGCTAAGGAAGGAAAGAAGACGTGCAGCAACATTTTGTTGCAGGCCTCACTTGTGCCTCATCCCAGAGCTTTGGGGGATAGCAGCTCACCCCAGATCCAAGCTGATTGGCTGCTAGAAAGGCTCCCTCCTGCCAGAAGAAGAGATGGCAGTCCACAATTGATGGCCTACACTGATGAGGGCCACCAACTCCAGTGTCATTTTGCAAAAAGCCTGGCAGCTGAACCCCCCATTGTTCTACCCAGACACTGAGGTCCAGCGCCGAGGGCCTTCTGGCAGTTCCCTCACTGTGAGAAGCCAAGTTACAGGGAACCAGGCAGAGGGCCTTCTTGGTAGTGGCACCCGCCCTGTGGAACGCCCTCCCACCAGATGTCAAAGAGAACAACAACTACCGGACTTTTAGAAGACATCTGAAGGCAGCCCTGTTTAGGGAAGCTTTTAATGTTCGATGCATTACGGTATTTTAATACAGTGGTACCTCGGGTTAAGTACTTAATTCGTTCCGGAGGTCCGTTCTTAACCTGAAACTGTTCTTAACCTGAAGCACCACTTTAGCTAATGGGGCCTCCCGCTGCCGCTGGAGCACGATTTCTGTTCTCATCCTGAAGCAAAATTCTTAACCCAAGGTACTATTTCTGGGTTAGAGGAGTCTGTAACCTGAAGTGTCTGTAACCTGAAGTGTATGTAACCCGAGGTACCACTGTATTCTGTTGGAAGCCGTGCAGAGTGGCTGGGGAAGCCCAGCCAGATGGGTGGGGTATAAATAATAAATTATTATTGTTGTTATTATTATAACCCTCTGCCTGGTTCCCTGTAACTTGACTTCTTGCAATGAGGGAACCGCCAGAAGGCCCTCGGCGCTGGACCTCAGTGTCCTGGCAGAATGATGGGGGTGGAGATGTTCCTTCAGATATACAGGACCGAGGCCGTTTAGGGGTTTAAAGGTCAGCACCAACAGGGAACCAGGCAGTGGGCCTTCTTGGTAGTGGCACCCTCCTGTGGAACGCCCTCCCACCAGATGTCAAAGAGAACAACTACCAGACTTTTAGAAGACATCTGAAGGCAGCCCTGTTTAGGGAAGCTTTTAATATTTGATGCATTACTGTATTTTAATATTTTGTTGGAAGCCACCCAGAGTGGCTGGGGAAGCCCAGCCAGATGGGCGGGGTATAAATAATAAATTATTATTATTATTATTATTATTATTGATAAAGCTGACCAAATAACCTGAAGCTGCTTCTGGGGACAGTAGTGGACTTTAGGCTCTCAGATTTCAGCAGCTCCCTTTTGTGCTACCTTCTACAGCATTATTGTGGGGCTTCCTGCAGCATGGCACCTGGGATGGCCGAAC